TGATTGAAAGAAATTTATCAAATGTTAAAATTAAATCATTGGTGCCTTAAGAGCCTTCAACCATTTATTTCTCTCAGTGTAGCTCCTCGGGAGCAGCATCATCGTCTTAGGGTCTGAGATGCCATTCGGATAGTTTGCTTAGGTTCATTTTCCGTGGGCGGCGAGCAAGTGGGCGGGGTGCGGTGGATGGTGCTGCTGCGGCAGGGGTGGAGCGCTGGGTGGTGGAACGGCCATTGTTGCCAGAGTGTGCGCTCGTAAAGAAGATTTATTGAGAAGACGCGCGCGCTTCTTGGGGCGCACGTAGCCAGCGGATTCCATTTGGCCGGGAAGGAAATTGGGTTTGCTCTACCATATCCCCGCTCTCCCCCTGCGGCTTACCTCCCCCATCCTGGCAAGCCTCGACCTCGGCCCAGCAGCTTACTAAATTGCTTTTTCTGCTGGGGCGTCTCAAGAAAAACGACTTTGCCCGCTCGCACTTGTCCTATCTCTCAGCTTGGGTGTGGGCTTTGGGATATATATACATATATATTCCTATCCTATATCACATTTCTCACATCTGAGACTAATGCGATTGCGTTTTTTGAGAGTTTTTCTAATTTGCATTTAATTTTTTGCAGCTGTTACAGTTCCTCTGGTCCGGGACCTGTCTAATTTCAGAGTCTTTAAGTGGTTGGAAATTCAGAACGCGTTCTGCCTTTAGTTTAACGACGCTCCATATTGAAAGATAAACATTTGAATGGCCGGATTAAGCTCGCCGCGGTACTTCGTATGCAACAGGATGTTGTCGTTAGCAGGGAAGGCCATTAAAAGGCATCTTAGAAACAGGTAGGCAACATTTTGGATTGTTTTAAGTTTGTTTGGAACTTGGGAAGTGGTTTAGACTTGTTTCACTAAATCATATTAAGAATAATAATATTCAATATGTGTAGAATGAAGAATATGTTTTGCAAGAAAGATCATCTTTGAAGGACATCTTTCCTAGCAGCTGAGTCCTTCTGCCTTGCATTCCCTTACCACACAGCACTTGTGTCCTCCAAAATCCCAACTAAATATCAGTAATGCCAGAGAGTCAAGGACAATTCATTGTTATGTCCATTTCGCCCTGGCAAGGTGCTCGTTTTTTGCACTTATTAACCCACCGCAACGGATGCGGCCAGTAAAAATGCGACCAAGGTTAATTGCCCCGATGATAAAAAAGGGAACAGAGCACTTTGCAGATTTCATATTTCACGGTTATTATCATCAGCTTGGAAATTTGCACTTTGAAAGGCAAAAGAGGAAAAAACCAAACAGGTAAGAGATGCAGCTAGGCGAGAAGGTCCTGCCACGAAGGTTAAATCTAAGTCCTTGTGCCTTGGCTGAGACTAAAAAATACCCAAGACTATGGCAGTGGAATGTAAAAAGATGCACGAAATTATTCTTGGCATTTCCCACAAGACCCATACAACGAAATCGAATCCAAGCGAGGAAAGAGGAGCGAGGAGTACCTGGCCCGGTTCCACTTGCTTGGATTTTGGAATCTTCTTGCTCGTTTTTTTGTTGTTTTTTCATCTCAGCAGCAGCAGCAGCAGCCAGCAGCAGCGTTCTTAATCTCGTTTATGACCTCGTATATCCTTGGCAGGGAGCGCAGCTCCCAAAAAGCCGGATGGGGTCGGGTCCTTCGTCCTGCGGCGCCGGTACAACGCCCATTACAATAAACAACGAGGCGCTGGCGTCGCCATGCCGGTAGTTGGGGGTTTGAAGGTCCTCCATCCCATCGCCCAGAATTCCCAAATTCCCGCCCCCCGAATCGCCGCGTATCGTGCCCGTATCTTCGGATGTCCCTTCGCCATTTCCGTTCGCTGGCAGCGGCGAAAAAAAGGGAGAATTCCAAGGGGAGGTGGAGGGGTGGGGGCGAGCACTTTTTTCGCCGCCTTATCCTTTTGGGATTTTGGGCCATTAACGTGAATTGCTTTTTGGCCAAATTATGTATACCCCGTACAGGCGGCGGGAGCTTTAATGTTTTGTAAATTCACATAAGGAAACCATTATCACCTGAAATATGAAAGCAATTTTCATGCATCCTTTCGAGCGCCAGCGGTTTTCCCTTGTGTCGCTTTTCTTCGGGTTTCCAGAGTAACCGATCGATTGGAACTTGGAACTTCCCAGAAGTGAGGGACCATCTGAAGTTGTACCTTTGCAAAAACAGGTTACTGCCAAAAGCGCTTTTTTGTTAAGTAACATTTCTTAAACTAAAATCAAGCAGTTTTGATCTATTTTTAACTTAAAATTATGGATAAAATATCAAAGTAAATATAACCTATAAAACCTTTCCCAAACACCCAATTAAACTCAAATTGTAATCTGTTTTCTCATTTCATTTAAATTTTTGCGGTTCAACAAGAAATTAGCCATCTTCCGACGGCAACTTGTGACAAAAGCTTCTGGGACAAGAAGTCTCAGCTTTTCCCGCCCACAATCTTGGCCAAAAAGACAGCCCGACACGGCTGTTGTTGTCTAGCTCCTGGCTCAGCTTCCATGGTGGTCACAAGCCGAAGACGATGTCGTCTTGGTCTCGTTCCTGGCAATTGCTGGGAGCATCGTTTGGAGCCATTTCGGCGGCCATAACAATTCTCGTAATACTTCGGGCATCGCCGACTAAACGATAATCGCGCGTAAATGCGCCACTAAAATCAATACGACGACTTTGCCGTCGAGTTGGAGCCACGTTCGTGGACTTGAAGTCCAGGTTTCACCTTCGTTGGCTGTGGACTTTTCAGCCATCTCGCCATCCTTTTCGCAAGGAGCGCAGCCAAGGAAAAGTCGGCGCCCACGCAAATGGGCGGTTATGCACATGCGCTTCTTAGTGGCAGCTTCTTGTTGGCTTCTTTTTTTGGTGTTTTACCCCCCTTCCCATGTTCGCCACTTGGCCAACGTCTCACAGCGAAATGAAGTCGGTCCACACACAAATTGAGTGTATTTTTGGGTTTATCAGATGCGGATTTATACATTCACATATGAGCGCTTGAAGGGGCAGATCTAATGAGGACCTTTAAAGGGGGGTTAAGTTGGGGTTAGAGATGAGGAACCATTAATGGATCATTAGTGGGTTAGTTTAAGCTTGGCTTGTTTGTGACTTTCTTTATAACAAAGCTTCCCTCTATATAAATGTTGCTTACAAAGATTAATACTTGGAAACAAACAAAATACTGAGATTATGCCAAATGATTATGATCTTGGCCTTCTCAAAACTGAATTTGGTTCTTTTACGAAGAAAGGGTGACATAAATGGTTACCTTTAAGTATCATAAACTTATGTTCTTCAGTACAAAAACATATAAATATCGTAAAACCATCACTTTTTTGGTCAATAAATATTGCTTATAACATTTAGCATGGGAAGTGTTTCATGTTAGCCTCGAATCTCGTGATAAGAGCTTGAAATGTCGTTTCAATTAGCGAATGCCGCTCATTACGATTCAATTCGAACTGCCTTTGTTCGAAGCGCACATTCGAATAATTAATTTTCCATTTCACTTAAAGAAATTAAACATTTAAATTTAAATTTCCCCCGCGAAGTGCATAATTAACGGCAGAGAAACCCAAGTCGAGTTGAACATTTTAATCAGCCGGAGGGACTGCAAGCACATGGCGGAGTCCTCCATTAATTTACGATCCAGCGGGATCCGATCCGAGATCCGAGATCGGAGATCGGAAGATCCCAGCGGGCAGGTAAGCAAAATGAGAAATTTATCAAATTTATTGAGGGGAATGAATTGAGATATAATTCAGGGGAATTACAAAGGCCCAGGACCAGCCAACAGCCACCAAAATGGAGGCTTAAAACCCCAATAAATTAGCCAGAAAGAGAAGTCCGGGAAAGACAAAGGGCTAGAAGGCTCAGCCATTATATTTTTTTCCTCCATTTCCCCGACTCCCCTACCCCCCTGCTTCTGTCCGGCGACCGCACGCTGCGTCCGTAATTAAAAGTCGTAAACTATTTTTATGGTGCCTCGTATATTTGCCGCAAAATGTCAACCCCGATTTGCATGCGTTGCTCGTGGGAATGTAAATATATATACGATATCTAGATGTATCTGGCGGACAGGTGAGTGGGGGATTTCGGGTTGAATTCAATTAATTGCGGATAGATAAATCGAGATGATCGGAGAACACCACTGTGAATCGGCACACTTACCATGCGAATACTTTTGCTCCCAGATCATGGCAAAGTAATGGCGACCATCTCAGATTCTCCCCCTTCCCTGTGCGATCATTTATCTCAATGAGACCCCAGATGCAGTTGCTCATTAATTGGACTTTATGGCCGTCTAAATCATGTGACAAAATGCAAATTAATATTTATTCTCGTGCCAGTACCAGCGGAATACCAGTTTGTGTTCGCCTTAGCGCAGCTTTCAGCGCACTCAGGGCATAAATTCATAAATGTGCCAGCACCGCCAATGAATTTACAGTGTAAAACATAACTTTTAATTACGCGACCAAGCGACCAAGGAGAAGTGAGCAAAAACACAGAGAATGTCGCCACACAAGTTGCGTAAATAAATAAATGCTTAATAATGTTGAAGACAATGTAGTTGCAAGGAATGGAGGAAGTGTGGGGACCACTTTTGAGTGCTAACAAGTTTTTTAAACTTTTAAGCTTTAAAGTAGATTCATTACTAATCTTTACTTATGTTGATTAACTAAGAGTTTTCAATTGCTATAGAATCAGTAAATCGGGGCAGCTTATTACGAGCTGAAATCAAAACCAAATTAACTCCGCAACATAACCACGCCGAATGCCAGAAGTACAGCTTAACAACAAAAGCTGCGAGCTACAGAAGTTCTACAAAAGATCCCAGAAGCGCATGCCCTACAAAGTAACAGTAAAGCGCATGCGGAACTGAGATAATCAAAACAAACTAGAAACTGCCGTTAAACCCGCCGATGCTCATCCGTCTTTGCTTTGGCTGCTTGGCCCAACAACTTAACCGCAATTTCAGTCGTTATTTGCCATATTTAACACCAGTTTGCTTTGCTGATTAGCTTTTATTATTTTCGAATAGTTCCTTGTATGTTTTGCAAACATTTCTATGTTTTCCTGAAACTGCGAATGGCTTTTATCTCCTAAAATAAATTACATTTACCCAGACTAGTTAAGATCCTACCAAAGTCAACATCACCTAATTAATTACTTTACAAAAACCACCATTAATTTAACCTGTGACTGTGACTAATACCTGATCTCCATATGCATTCACGATGACTAAGCAAGCGATGAGTCGCTGCTAGATGTGATGGTTACAATGTTCGGACTGTTCATAATACCGCCCAGCCTCTGCTGGATCTTCGACGAGGACAGATTCATGGTCTCCGGTATATAGACCAGCGTGTAGAGCAGGATAATCAAGGCGATGATGGCGAACAGGAGGAATATATACGGCTGGCAGCTCATCGTGTGGCTGGAGAACCATAAGATGACGACGAAGGCAGTCGTCCAGTTTGAGGCTGCGATGATGGCACAACCCACAGGTCTCATGTTCCTAACAAGGAGCTCCACATTGAGCAGCCACGTAAGGGTGCCCACTCCTGAGGCATAGCTACCGACAAAAAGACCGATACACAAGAGGGCAATCCAGGGAAGGACAACCGTTTCCATGGGTAGCCATATCTGGAAGTACAATCCCAGGAAAACGCTCACAAAGAAGTTTATGGCCGAGGAGATGATGAGCAGCGGCCTTCTACCAACTCGATCCACCAGGAGAAAACAAATGGCAAAACCAATGAATACTGCCACGCAGAGGAGGATTCCAATGCAGCGTTGCATTTTCAAGCATTCCAGGACACTTGGGGTATAGAAGACGAAGATCATGGCGCCACGCAGTTTTTGGAGCACGGCGAGCACCAAGGCCCGCGACAAGCTTCTTCGTACCTTCTTGTACTTGAAGCCTCGCATCGGACCTTGGCGCACGTCCTGCTCACTTGGCGTGGGTTCCAGCATCAGATTGTCCAGCTCGCGCCTTGTATCATAGTGTTTGCCCCGCAGATAGCGAAGGGATGCCTCCGCCTGGGGAATATTCCCACGATCTACATAGTAGGCCGGTGACTCTGGCATCAGTATTTGCAGCAGAGCCAATGTAACAAGACCCAGATTCAGGAGGTTTGCAATCCACACGTCGAGGAAGAGGTTCATCGTGAAGCTGTATATCACACCGAAAAGACAGGACCCATGGAATAGCACACCCATGGCGCCGCGTTTCTTGATGGTACTGATTTCGGCGCTGTAAATGGGAACAGCCACGCAGTGGGCACCGCCGCACATGCCCAGGAAGAAACGACCGGCATAGACCATGGACACACTTTTGGCAAAGATGGTAAGGAACCATCCAACGGTATTTGGCAGCAGCTGGAGGAGGATGGTTCGCCTGCAGCCAATGTATCGAACCAAGAATCCCGCCGGCACACACCAGAGTGCTGCTCCCAGGATAAGCAATAAGCAAATCAGGTTCCAGTCGGTGTCCGATAGTTGGAAATCATAGAAGCTCTGTTCTATTACCGAACTCTGCACCGATCCCGACCAGCCTAAGGCAATGCCGAAAAGAAAGGATCCTATGTTGCTGCAGAAGGTGGCCTTGTAGAGGCCAAAATTGTTGATGGATGACTGTTCTCTGACTGTTTCGGGGGACTTTTTCTTCAGAAGATTTAGTTTTTTTCTTCCTTTGGAAGTCTGCGGCGCCTCTGGGCCGGGTACTGGTTCCGGTTCCCGTCTTCCCCATACCATCACTTAGCGGGATTTCGTTATAAGATTCCTAGCATTTATCTATATTCTAATCTAGGCTATCAACTATGGGTAAGACTAAATGATTTTCGGGAACCCAATTTTGTTAAATTTTAGAGTAACTTTGAAGGGTCTACTAAGTTCTTCTGTTGGCTTTTCCCTCATGAGCTTGAAGGTAATATATATTCACTGAAGGTAATATACGAGGTGTGTTCAAAAAGTAAGGTGACTTTTCAAATTTCGCGGGCAACATATTTTCGATTATCGTTTTTTTTGTTTTGTTATATTGGTACACTCTTCCCTAACATCTGTACCAAGTTTCAATGGAACATCCTCTTTTGTTTGGTTGTGAGAGGCGTAAAGTTACAAGTTGTTTTGCGAGCTCGGCGATTTTTTGCTATCGAAAAATATGGATCAAAGGATTTGCATCAAATTTTGTGTAAAAAATAAAATTAAGTGCTCTGAAACACTTGAAATGTTGACAGTGGCATACGGTGAAACTGTTCTGAGTAAAAAAATGTGTACAAGTGGTACAAACTCTTCCAAGATGGCCGGGAAGATGCCAATGACCAGCCTCGCTCTGGACGCCCAAGCACGTCAACATCTGATGAAAACGTTCAAGCAGTGACGAAAATTGTTTTGGAAAATCGTCGAATCACTATCAGAGAAGTTGCTGAAGATGTCGGTATATCGCTTGGCTCGTGCCATGAAATTTTTCAAACGTTTTGGGTATGAGTCTGTGTCAGCGAAGTTTGTTCCGAAATTGCTGAATTTTGAGCAAAAGAACCGTCGCATGAGCATCGCTCAAGAGCTGTTGAATGACGTCAACGACGACCCAGATTTACTCAAAAGGGTCATAACTGGTGACGAATCATGGGTATATGGTTATGATATCGAAACCAAAGCCCAATCGTCCCAATGGAAGAGCCCAGACGAGCCAAGACCGAAAAAAGCAAAAAATCGCCGAGCTCGCAAAACAACTTGTAACTTTACGCCTCTCACAACCAAACAAAAGAGGATGTTCCATTGAAACTTGGTACAGATGTTAGGGAAGAGTGTACCAATATAACAAAACAAAAAAAACGATAATCGAAAATATGTTGCCCGAGAAATTTGAAAAGTCACCTTACTTTTTGAACACACCTCGTAGTTTCACTTACTAAAGCTTTTATGATCTGCCAAAACTAGAGCTGGATTACTTTTTAGAGTTCGTTATTAAATACTTAATCGACCAGTTAGAGTTCCTCTTCCTGTAACACCTTAACCTATGACTTTCCGAAATGCGCTTTTAAGCATTCCCCGCCCATTAAGTTGACCATAATGTACGCCCAGTAATTATACAAGTCATTATGCTATTCCCAGCCAAAAATATCACAGGTCCGGAATAGAGAAAGAGGGGATTGTGGGCGTGCGATTTACAATATTGCATTTCCAAATCCCCTCCCCCCAAACCGCCCGACTAAGCTGGAAAAGGGACATCGAGTTGGCAATAAACTGGCATCTGCAAATATTTGTTCCCTCCCGGATCACATGCACATGCCCGGAGTGCGGGTGGGTAGGGGTACGAGTACGGGTATTTATTCCGGACTCGCATCCGGAGCTGTGTTTTGAATTTGTACGGGTATCTGTGTGTACTTCTGGCAAAGTGCAGATATTTATGCGTATTTGATAGCACTAATGGGCCATTAAATGCGTACGCAAATACACACACGTACCCGTTCGTATACATACATCTAAAGCGGAGAGCATGTAGACTGTGTGTGTGTGGGTGTGGGTGGCAGGATGAAAATGTACCTAAGCGAATCTAAATGGCATCAGGGGCACCGAACATGCAAAATCATGTACTCGTAAATCTCCTTAATGCCGGCGGCCTCCGGACAAACTGAGACACCCGGGAAATGCCAGGAAAAGCGTTGCTGGAGCAGGTGGTGGTGGTGGTGGTGGTTGGAGGGGGCAATGTGGGGTTAAGCTGTTCCACACACATCCCATGTACACGCATGGTGGATGCTTGTTTTACCCCCGAGAAAAAGTCGATAGCAGCAGGGTGGGGGTGGGGATTTTCCGTAATGGAACTCGATATATATATGTCCGGGTATTTGTGTGTGCATAAGAGTGTGTGTGTGTGTGGGTGTGGGTGTAAGGTGCTTTCGAATACGTATTACGTAACTAACGAAAATTAACGTTAATAGCCCTGAGTATCAAAATAATGGCACTCGCCTGTTGGTTGCCCCCTTCCGCAAGGCCGGTTTTCGGATTGGATGGGCTTCTCTCTCTCTGTTCCTCCATCCAGAACCCCAAATAAATTTCAAAAACTCATTCCGGACTTGGGAAAAACGTGAAAATATTGTTACGACCTCTTACGGCTGCCGGGGTGGGGGGAAGCTGCCTTACCGTTTCCTTATGGAACATTTCCCATCGAACTAAATTAGATTTTAGTCGCAGAATTACGATATTCGAGCGGTTAATTGAGAAAAGTGAAGCAGCGATTTTTAATGATGTTGTGATTGCGGGTGGCAAGGATGCTGGGGTGGCAATGTCGTTGCCAATGGGCTGCTCATATGGTTTGGGTTAATGGCGTTTTCTAGATATTCCACAGATATGCATAGAGAAGGTACTGAAATGGAGAGCAATGATAGGTATAGAGAAATATGTTTTTATGCTTTTGAAAATGATTACAAAAACTTCTTAAGTTGAATATCAGAAAGAATATCTGACTATATTTTTATATAACCTTCTTAAACCAAAAAGAAATCTGCTTTTGCCATCCCACCTTAAAGCTCTTCCTTTGAAATTCTAAAATACTTCCACTCCTCCTTTAAACAAACACATGTGAGAAATCCTCTTTGCGGCTCAATTTAACTTTCAACGAAATTGAAATTTCAAACAACCCCACCAAAAAAGAAACAAAAACAGAAAAGAACGCAAAAAATAAGATACTTTATATAAAGGCCAACATTTTGTGAACTGGGTATGCGTGTATCGTTAATTTTTATTGGCGAGCTCTCGAGATCCCCTCTCGCATTGAAATCGAATGAAATTCAGTTGCTGGTCCTTGCTGGCTTGTTGCTGGCACTCATATCCGGACTTCAATGGCTGCCAGTGCCGGGGGATTGGATCGGAGGACGAAAACGCAATAAGCAGTTAAAAAATACTCGTAATTGCAGCGGGAGTCAAAGCCCCCGGAGACTGGCTTGCTGCATGCCTCATATGAGTTGCCATTGTTGGCGTTTTCTTTTTTTTTTTTGTGGAACGTGCGCATCTCATCGACTCGATATTTCGATTCCGCCGCTCCTTCTCTTTCCCATTTCCCCTTCCGATGGAGGACAACGTCGGGAATGACACTCAGCGGACTCGTTCCGCCGGAAATTCATGAATAAGAAGATGAAATTGCTTGTACTACAGGCCCTTCTTAGTATATTTTGTCCACCTCTCCGATATTCTTTTTCGGTTTGTTAGTCTTAAAGAACTTTGAGGATATTTTTAAAATGGTTCTGTAGTTCTTTGAGAAAATGCTCGAAACATTTCAAGGGGTTTCCTTAACAGAAACTGCAGATTTCCTTTCACTTAAAGTCCTTATTTTTGAAATTTTTCACTTATATTAAGTTGATATTAGCAACTGCAAAAGTACGTTCTTGTTATATTATTTATTTTTTTTTAACTTTAAAACTAACAGCTTACATTAGGCTAAGAGCAATAGCAGCTAAGGCCTTCAGCACGGCTAAATTTAGATTATGGCTTGTATAGATTTAACACATTACTAACATATGTAAAAGAAGTGGAAGATAAGAAGATATATAAAAAGGAACACATTATGGAAATTAATCTAATTGTGGTTACCTTACAAGTTTTTTTTTAATAAAATAAGTTTATAAGTTTATTAGAATCCATTAGTCTAATCTGAGATAAAGTTAAGTTTAAAGTTGTGAACTCTTTTGTTGACAATCAGAGTCATAATTTACTCAATTTAATGATTTTTTTTAAATTTAAATGAGTCTATTAAACATTTTATAATTATTTTATAATAATTGTATATAAATTAAAGAATTGCTAAAGATTTGGAGGGATGGCAATGAGGCACTTAGGGTTTTAAGTTAAAGTTAACTTAGTTAAAAACCCAAAACTTCAGCTTAAACCAATCTTTCCAATGCCATATATATAGTCTTTTTGTTTCCAGATAAAGCCCACTCAGTGCTTGGCCATCACTGATGGCTTTTCCTTCCGCGGACCTTTCCCGCTTTTGCTAGTTTTCCTTTTGTCCGTCTCGTTATTGCCGTAATATTGTTGGTCCGCGCGGGAGTCGGCCCTGTTGTTGCTGCTGCCATCGCCCTTGTTTTTGTAGTTATAATGGGTAGTGCCATTCTGGATGCTCGGCAGCGGCAAAAATGTTTCACAAATGGGTTCATATTTTGACGTTTAATGTAGCGAAAATGAAGCGGGGATTTATGGAATGCGCACGTTGCCCTCGCGGCAGTTCAACCGCCCTTTTCGCCTCCGATCCCCCTTGGTCCGGCGGCCAATTTAGAAATGGAGAGTGCAAATCAAGAATCAATTGCATTATTAGAAGAAGCGAATCCCAAGGAGTGGGCAGTGAGGGTTCTCTGTCTGGACATCTTTGTCTGCTGGAAGGGATTTTCCCCGCTTCTTTAAGATTAAAACTCTGGCATATTTTGTACTAAGCTCGTAACCTGCCACCGGTGTCCTTAATGGCCAATAGCGGATGATGAAAACACCATCGTTGGTGGGGCCGAAGTTTGCCTAAAAATGGCTAATCGACTGCCTCGGGCACTTGAGGCCAGCAGTTACCAAGGAGTAGTTACCAAGGAGCAGTGAGCAACCCCTCTGCGGAATCCCGGACGCACGCCAGGGATCAAGTAAATTGCGAAAACTATGTGCAAGATGGCCTGTTATTGCAGCCGAAGCGCTTGTAATGATGACTCTAAGTGTCGTTTCCTTAAGTGTATTACCTATAAAAAATTTATACAAACATGCTGCCGAATTCGTTCGCATTCTCGTTCCCACCACCGCCGCCACCGAAGGGGCGAATCCGGGCCTCATCTGCCTTCCCAG